GCCTTCCAACCCACGTGCCTTCACCTTTGCATCCAGCCCGTCCGCCTTCCAACCTTGCGCGCCTTCCAACCCGCGTGCCTTCGCCCACGCCCCTTCGCGTCCAGCCCACACGCAGAAAGGAAAGCCATAGTGATAGTTTTTCCTCTTCTTTGTGTTCTTCTCGGTGAGCGCGCGCGCGCGAGAGAGAGAGAGAGAGAGTCCTACTCATCCCCCTGCATCTCCTCCTACTCATCCCCCTGCATCTCCTCCTCCTCTGCCTCCTCTTCTTCTGCTTCTTCTTTTCTGCCGCCTCCTTTTTCGTCGGGTTCTTTGGGGGGTGGGGAGGGGGGGGGGAGAGAGAGAGAGAGAGAGAGCAAGAGAGAGAGAGAGAGAGAGAGAGAGAGAGAGAGAGAGAGAGAGAGAGAGAGAGATTTTCGCCGCCCAACCCCTAACCCCTGAAATATCCCCCCCTCTGCCCCGACCTCCATAGAACGGAACTTCTCTGTTCACAGTTTTCTTTGCGGATTCGGGGAGATCTCGGCGAGCGCAGTCCAACCAAGCTTCCAAAACAATAAAATAAAAAAAGAATTGACCCACTTTTTTGCCCAACCGGAATTCCGGTTGGACCACCTGGGGTCCAACTGGCCCGGTTGGATCCGGCCCGGTCCAACCGGCCGGTTGCCGGCACAGCAGTCGGACTGCCTTTCACAGACATTCACATAAACATCGTACGAGTAGGTATTGCCACCCAAAGAGACCTTTGAAATTTGAATAGACATAGTGTGGCAGGTACTGAGACCACCACAGAATCCGCATCGACATTTACATAGGCATAGTATGGGAAGCGTTGAAGGTCTGAAAATGGGGATTTTATTTGGGTTCAGCATTGGTATTGGCTTTCACAGATAGACATACCATGGGTAAGCACTCACATTGACACTCAAACAGACATCTGCACAGACATGGAAGTGGGAAGTACTATGGCAACCAAAGTCATCCACAAAGATACTTACATAGACATAGTACTACGGCAAACAAAGTCGTCCACGTAGATATTTACATAGACATAGTACTGGCAGGTATTCACATAGACATTCGTGTAGGTATGGCACGGGTAGATTCAAAGGCCACCACCGCCTTATCGCAGCTCAGATCCATCAGCTGCAAAAATAACCCTACAAATACACTAACACCCCATCAAAGTGAATGCCAGCGGCGAGGCGACGATCTTCAGTTTCTTTTTTTCCTAGCAAATCCTTGTTTTCTCATTCAGAAATGATCTCACGGATCTTGGTCAACTGTCTGATGACCGAACCCAAGTACGAGCCTCGCTCCACTATGCAACATCCCATATGTATCTGGACTATGAGGCGAACAGATACATTTGGACTGACCCAAGATTTGAACTCATACGGACCATTACTGGCTCCAGATACATACAGAATGTTGTGCAGTGGAGAGAGGGCCTGTAGCTTATTGGGGTTAAACCATTAAAACATACTTCATTCGTATAGCGCATTCACACTATCTAATATTCTGAATAAATGTGGCCATGTATACGCCCATAACACCTCGGTGTCCATACATTCTTTCATTCTAAAGGCGAGCAGGAGACTTCCTCGAACATGCTTCCTCTTCATCTGCACCCAACTTGGCGCGCAATACAATGACCGGGCCCTTAAACCTCCAGTACACAGCCACACATCAACCGTGGGCCCGGGCCCTTAAACCACCAGTACACGGCCATACATCGACCGTGGGCCCCTCTCACCGTGACTTTCAGAGGCCGGAAATGCAACAAACGCCATTGATGAAGTTTATCAACAGCGGACCGGCCCCAAAAGTTGCCATGATGGGGAGTCTTAGTAACAGGATGATATGGACCTCAGTGCCAGTGTGGGGACCTCTTTGTCACACTGGCAACCAGCCATACGGCTGTTTGCAGAGATTTTCTAAATTTGGGCCGGGTGAGAGGGGCGGAGGGGAGGAGGGGGGGGAAAGAAGGGGGCAAAATCATTTGCAACGGGCCACAGATTCAGGCAATCTGCAGAACCCACTTTAGACGCAAAACTGTTTGTCTGTCTGTCTGTCTGTCTGTCTGTCTNGTGTGTGTGTGTGTGTGTGTGTGTGTGTGTGTGTGTGTGTGTGTGTGTGTGTGTGTGTGTGTGTGTGTGTGTGTGTGTGTGTGTGTGTGCGCACAGCTGTTGCACCGAGCACGAGTGCTGTTTTTTTTTTCTTTCGGAAGGACTTGTATCGCTTCTCTCTCTCTCTCTCTCTCTCTCTCTCTCTATCTATTCTAGCATTCCATGACTATTATCCGTCTCTCTCTCTCTATCCAGATTGGTCGGTTGCTCGCTTTCCCGTCTGTGAACACCGTCACTTCACATGTCATAGCAAGATTTTTTTTTTTTTAACAACTCCGCAATATCTGTGTTCATCGTGAACGTCAATTGTTTTATCGTTCGATAGACAATATCATTGTTTGGTCAATTGTCACTTCGTCACAATCTCACACTCATTGTTTGATTGTTTGATTGATTGATCAATTGACTGATTGATTGAATGATTGCTTCGTGAGGGTGTCACTGTCTTACTGATTGATTGATTGATTGATTGGTTGATTGATTGATTGTTTGGTTCATGCATTGATTGGTTTATCCTTTTACGGCTCACCGAACAATTCATTGAAGGATCTTTTGGTAGACCGAGTGGGGGGACTTTCGATATCTCCCCACCCGTTACTGCATCAGTTTCTCATATGCATATATATATCAAAGTAGACTGTCACCATCACGCATATATGTATATATATATATATATGAAAGTCCGACGAAACAGTTTGTCGCACTTGATGTTTTGTTGTCCTGTTCTCCCTCTCTGTGTATGGTGTGCCGGGCAGTTCTGTAAGTGACGATATAAATATATATATATATATATATATATATATATATATATATATATATATATATATATATACATGTCGCACTGTGAATCGGAGCGCAAAGGCGGGCAAAAGCAACCCAATGAAGGGACAGACAAAAAAACGATGGAGGAAAGCCCCACCTGTGCATCACCTCCTGCGTACAGGGGCAGCGATGTGGATGACAGGTCGAACGCTCAGTGCCCCCATCCCCGTTTGTCACAATGACACACGTGCACAAGCGAACACGCAAAGGTGTGAAGACAAGGAGGAGGAAACCGGACCTTGCACGGCCACAAAGCAAAAACAATACACTGAGACCAAGGACAAGGGAAAGGAAGGACTGTGCATAAGCCAACCATTGGCAAACCAATCAACACATCCCTCAGATTAACCAATTGCCACTGTCAACACGAAGTTCAACATATTGCATATTGTGTCCTTGTTTTGTCATCTCTTTTAATTCAAAAAACAAGTTTTTTTTTTTTGCTTATGTTTTTTGTTTTTCCCATATATGAGAACAGTTATATATTCTTTGTATATATATATATATATATATATATATATATATATATCGTCTTCTCCATCTCTGCGTACGTTTTACCGGGCGGTTCTGTTTGAGACAACACACCACACAACAACGGCAATGGCAACATCAATGCAGACCAATCATTGATCGCACATGACATGTCCCGCGTGCAAAAGGCACATGCAAAAGGGACCTCGTTCGTCCTCGACGACTGTCTCTCCCCTTTCGTGATCTTGTGATCGTGTGAATGTGCCACCATCGTAAATTTAGCGAAGAAAAGACGAAGAGAACTAGACAGAAAAAAAAAACGAAATAAAAAAAACAACAAAAAATAAAGACATGCAAAAGTTGTACTACAACCGTCTCCGATGAACGATGATGCCGACAAGGGCGTCGAAGTACAAATTTAGGGACACAAACCGACCTCGCCCGTGACACTCCATATCTAGTACAGTCCGCACCCAACGCAATGTGCTTTCACACACACACACACACACACACACACACACACACACACACACACACACACTTCTTACACCCCCAGCCGGTAACCCTCCCAAATTTCCTGTCAAAAGAACACCAACAAACCATGGCATGTGACTAAATAGGTACTATGCAGCAAAATCCCACAAACGAAAACGAGAGAGAGAGAGAGAGAGAGAGAGAGAGAGAGAGAGAGAGAGAGAGAGAGAGAGAGAGAGAGAGATTAGGAGGGAACTCGCCACAAATAATCTGATTTATGAAGCCTGCATTCCGATAGCATCCAGTCAAAATGTCCCCGCTTCCGAGATTCTGTGCGCTTTCAAAAGAGATCCAGAAAGCAAACAAGGGTTTATGGGGCACGGAGAAGAGAGGACAGGAGGTTTACAACAAGGGCGAGGAACTCGGCCAATGAACAAGCACATGGGCGCAAGCAGTTCAACAGCTATAATTTCCCTTTTCATACTTTATAATTCCCCATTATTATGTATTTACTTTGTATTCTGATTTCCATGCTTCCTTCTGTTTTACAGTGCCATATCATTTTGTGCTCATCCTTGGTCTTTCGTCACCTATTTGACTGACAGCACCAATTTCTTTTGTTTTCACTCATGGACTTTCCTTGCGAGTTTATCTCTGCAGAAAGCACACAAGTCAATGGGCCCAGGAGGAACTGAGGGAATGGACAGAACACGACCAGCAAAGTAGCTCTGTGAGTGAGTTTGTCCAAGATATGGAGGAAGAAAAAGGGAGGAGAGAAGAGACAGGGGAGAGAGGGGAGAGAGGGGAGAGAGAGGCGAGAGACGACATGAGGGAAGAGCAAGAGGAGAGAGAAGACACCAGGGGAGAGCGAGAAGAAAGAGAAGACGCGAGGGGAGATCGAGAGGAGAGAAGACACGAGGAGAGAGCGACAGGAGAGAGAAGACACAAGGAGAGAGGGAGAGGAGAGGAGAGGGAGAGGGAGGGAGGTAGGAGGAGCACCAAGGATGAGAAAGGGAGAGAGGGGAGGGAAAGAGTGGGGGTGAGCAAGAGAATGAGAGAGAGAGAAGGGGGTAGAGAATGCAGAACCAGGGACAGATAGAGCAGATGTACCAATGCACCGTCGCACACGCCTATGCGCCTCAGGCCGTCTACTGTAAAGGCTGCCAACACGTTCTCGTCTGTGATTGGTTCACCTTCTCGAGCCATCTGCTCCGGTCCCTTCACCATCTTCTCCATGGCCCCTGACGTTGCTTTAGTTTCCACGCTAGTGCCTGGATTCTGGCGTTCCCCACCTGTTCCAGCTCTTTCACTTATTGTGGAAACCTGGATCCCAGTGTTCTCCTTTTGCCATGTGTCAGACTGAGTACTGTGGCCGCCCGTCGTTGCGGAAAAAGGCTCTTCTAGGTCAGCATCCCAGGACCGCAATCCACCACCCTCCACGTCAGGGTGCCCATGGCCTTGGGCGGGCGGCAAGCGCAAGATTCCCAGGCGGAAGGTTCCTCCTCCCCTCAGCCTTCCCCCTGCCAATTCTCCAACTAAACCGGCGTTATCCAACAGAGCCCGCTGATGTGGCTCTGAAGCAGTGGACAGCTCAGCATGCGAGTCCATCCCCCTCTCCCTCATCAGTGCTGCACCGTCTGATTTGCCCGACGTTGATTCGGGCTGATCGAGTCCCGCCGTCTCGATTGGGATCTTTGTGCCACCAGATGAACGGGGTTTTGGCCTCAACCGCGGGTGTTGCTCGGCCCCTAGTGGAGGCAAGGCCGGTCCTGCAACCTTCCCCTCCGTGACGGTCAGTCGCCGAGAGCCATCAGTCTCTGTATGACCGTCCAGTTCATCGGAGCTCACTGACTTTTCTGCAATTTGAAAAAGACTCAGTGCCGCGCAAGTCTCTGGCAGTAACAGTGGTCGCCGCCTTGCCAACGCCATCTCCATCCCAGTGTCGAATCCTATCGACTCCTCTGGGAGGGTTGGGCTGGGTGCAGCACAAGCACGACTACTAATTAACGAGTCTCAATCCTGATCAACTTCGCTGGAATCCTATCGACTCCTCAAGTGACGTGGCAAACATATTAACCCCGCCCACGGAGTGTAGGAGCTCTTCAGTTCGTGGGAACTGGGCGGGAATTGAATTGGCAGGAATTCAGTTAACATGAATTGAGGAACTGGCGGGATTTCGGATGACATGAATTGTGGAATTGGCAGGAATTGAACTGGCGGGAATCGGTTTGCCAGGAACTGATTTGCTAACGGAGTGTCATCAAACCTCGAGCATTGTTATTCTCGAGCCCCTCCAAACGCCATGGGCAGAAGGCTGAGAGCCAGACATGGGCCATCCAAAGTGCCACGTGGCCGTCATCGCGCAGAGCGACATACCATGGAAGATTCCATGGCTGCTTCATGCACGCATTCCTTCATGTATCAATCACCCTCAGGACATACTTGAAACTGCATGTGTCAGATGAACTCCCTTGAGTGGCTTCTTATCATCCGTTGAATCCTGTCAAATGATCCACAAGAACAGAGGGGGGAGTAATATTAAAATAAAAGAGATCATACTATCATCATAAGCACACGGCACAAGAGATCATGGCTGAGGCAAACTATTCTTTTTTCGAACTCCGCTGGTAATCCGTCAGTAGGTTGACCCTTCACAGTCAGACCAGAATCCCCTGCTGCTGATGAAGCAGACAGTCTGCAAAACATTCCAACACCAAAGAGACAACTTACAACTGAGAACTCCAAAGAGACCAAAGAGAAGACTCTCTCTCTCTCTCTCTCTCTCTCTCTCTCTCTCTCTCTCTCTCTCTCTCTCTCTCTCTCTCTCTCTCTCTCTCTCTCTC